TGTGGTTGACCTATATTTAATGTAAATATTATTTATTATAATAAAGGGGATACTGTGGGAGTAAAAATAGGGATTTTGGAGATATCCTATTCCCGAATATCCTCTCCTGATTCCATCTCCTGATTTCTTGGAGATTTGATCATCTTCTCACATGTATATAAATCAGTGTACATACTCTGGGATTCAATAATAATAAGAGTTTTTTCGGTCTATTTGCTACATGGTATCAGAGCAACTAGCAGATATCGACGCCGAAAACTCTGAGACAGAAAGCACCGAAGACGAGACACAAGAGTTGCACCCGATTCACACTTCTCCAATGTCGAAGAGTGATGGGTCCTCGCAAATCGATCCAGATAAGGCCGGTAGTCCCCTCGGGTCGATCACTGGTCATGACGGATCATCGGTGCTCGTGGTTACCATGAAACTCAATGGCTCGAATTATCGGGTATGGGCACAGGCTATGCGACTTGCGATTGGAGGCCGAGGGAAGATGGGTTACCTCGATGGCTCATCAAAAATTCCAGAAGAGTCCAGAACGCAGGAGCTACAGCGATGGCATACCGAAAATTCGTTGGTATCATCGTGGCTGATCAATGCCATGATTCCGGAAATTCAACAGAGCTTCATATTTCTTCCATCAGCTCATGAAATCTGGAAAGCTGTGCGAGATTCATACTCTGATGGGAAGGATTTGGCGCGAATATATGAGCTTAAAACAAAAGCATGGTCACTGCAGCAGGGAGAACGTGATGTCACGGCTTTCTGGCTGGAGCTGAATACCATCTGGCAGGAATTAGACTTGATGACAGAAGTGGAATGGTCTAGCAGTAATGATGCAATCCGTTATAAGGAGCAAGTCGAGAATGAACGGGTGTTTCAGTTTCTTGCAGGACTGAATCAATCTCTAGATGATGTACGGGGGCGCGTTCTGAGCCGTATGCCACTTCCATCCACTAGAGAAGTATTCTCAGAGGTACGTCGAGAGGCTTCAAGACGCAAGGTAATGACTCCTGGAGCTATTTCTGCACCAACTTCTTCCTTGGACACTGCTGCACTTGTGAGCAAGGGCAGTGATTCAAATCATAAGAACCAAAAGGGGAAGGTCACTTGTGAACATGCAAGAAGATTGGGCATACCCGTGACACTTGTTGGGATATACATGGAAAGCCAGCCGATTGGAAGCCGAAAAAGGGCAAGCAACGAAGTTATCAAACTTCTCATGATGTTACCGCCAGATAAACCAGACTCAATACCTGAAATTGATAAGGAGCAACTAGGTAAGCTACTTGAGATGCTTAGTGTGTTGCAGAAGAATGAGAAAAACCAGAAACTGAATCCTACTGCATCTGTGGCCCACAAAGGTAAATGTGCCTTACTTACTTCTAATAGTAACCCCAAATGGATTGTTGATACTGGGGCAACTGATCATATGACCTCAAATGTTAAACTATTCAATACCTATATTCCTAGCGCTGGGAATGAAACAGTAAGTACAGCTAATGGATCTTCCTCGTCAATAGCAGGAACAGGAAGTGTGGTTATTTCTAAAGTCATGAGACTGAATCATGTTTTACATGTACCTTACTTGGCTTGTAACTTATTGTCTATAAGTAAGTTGACTAAAGAGGCAAATTGCTGGGCTCATTTCTGTTCTACTCATTGTATTTTTCAGGACCTCTTATCGGGGAAGATGATTGGCAGTGCTAAGGAGCATAACGGTCTCTACTATCTCGATGAATCAACCGTGAGTAGTCTTTGGTCTCGAATCCAGTGTCACATTGCAAATAAAGACTTTAATGATCTTATGTTATGGCATAGGAGAATGGGTCATCCAAATTTTCAATACTTATGTCGTTTGTTTCCTGAATTTCAAGTTAATAAAATTTCTTCATTTCACTGTGCTGAGTGTGAACTTGCTAAACATCACAGATCTGTGTTCAAACCTGTTGAATATAAATCTACCCGTCCTTTTTCCATTATTCATAGTGACTTATGGGGTCCTACTCGTATTGCTAATCGTACAAATACTAAATGGTTCATTACATTTATTGATGACCATACTAGAATGTGTTGGGTCTACCTATTACAAGATAAATCTGCTGTGCCCTCTGTCTTTTCTCAATTTTATACAATGGTAAAAAACCAGTTTGACACCACAATCCAAGTCCTCCATACTGACAATGGCACTGAATACTTTAATAAAACCATGGATATGTTCCTCACAGAACATGGAATTGTCCATAAAAGTACCTGTCCTAGCACTCCCCAACAAAATGGTATTGCGGAACGGAAAAACAAACACCTCTTAGAAGTTGCACGTGCCTTGCTCTTCACTTATAACGTTCCCAAATATTTCTGGGGAGATGCAATTCTTACCGCTACATATTTAATCAACCGCATGCCAAGTCGTGTCCTCTCATTTACCACACCTCTTGAGAAATTAAAAGAATCTCACTCCATTACTCATCTTGACACTAACCTACCACTTAAAATTTTTGGTTGTTCCACTTATGTTCACTCCCATCACTCCCAAAAGCTGGACCCTAAAGCCATCAAATGTATCTTTCTTGGTTATTCCTCTACACAAAAAGGGTATAAATGCTTTGATCCTCATACCAAGAAACTTTACATAAGCCGAGACGTTAGCTTTGTTGAGCATGAGTCCTTTTACCCAAACACTTCAAGTCAGGGGGAGAGGGGGGAGTGACTTTCAGTTTTTGGAAAGTGAAAGTGAGAGGCAAAGGGGTAAAGAAATCACCACCATTCATGATTCTGATCCCTTCATTCTTGCACCAACAAACCCTCAAATAGAGTCTGAACTCTTAAACCCACAGTCCACCGAATTCAGGGTCCAATCTCCTAGGCCAGAAACTGAAGTAAAAAGTCTTTCAGATTGCACTGAAATTGCTGGAAATGCACTGGAAAAGACACCCATAGTCTACTCTAGGAAGAAATGGCGAGAAAGGGAGACTGTTATACCTGAAGCACAACCAGAATTCGAACCACAAGAGGCTCCTGAAGCTGGGAAAGCGGAGACAGACTTACCGATAGCCCTCAGAAAACAACCCAGAACTTGTACACAGCACCCCATCCAAAGGTTTGTGAGCTATCAGACTCTATCCTCACAATTCCGCACTTTTGTAACTAACCTTGATAAAGTGAAGATTCCCAATGATGTATATGAGGCCCTTAGCATACCAGATTGGAAGAATGCTGTGATAGAGGAGATGAATGCTTTAACAAAAAATGGCACATGGGAAGTTGTAGAGCTACCAAAAGGG